AATCAGGGGATCGCAAGTTTGAGTCCCACTGCAGTCAGCATGTCGTTGTGTCCCTGGGCAAGACACTTCACCCCAAACTGCTCCTGTGGGGATTGTCCACAGTACTGAATGTATGTAATGTAAGTTGCTTTGTCTAACAAATGCCATGTAATGTAATGTAATATAATGTAATGAACTGTGGACTTGCTAAGCAATTGTCCTCAACTTTTGGCAAGAAAGTACTTTATTGATAGTCAGAAACAAGAGAATGTATGAATGTATTTAGGGACCTATTTTTGCTCATGATTATGATGATTTAACTTTGGACTTCCCTATTTCCCTCTGTATTAAATGTGGAAAAATGTATAATGTATGCAAAAACCACAACAATGCTAAGACTGGGGGCTCCTCGATTATGACACAAATGGTAATCACAATATTGAGGTCATGATTATTTAACACAATTGATCATTCGTTTTGACTGGATCAGATTCGTCAAAAAGTCACATCCTGGTAAACAAGAACGGAGCGTGTCTCAAGATGGGTTATGTAGGAGGCCAACAACGCAAAAAGATCTGCAGTAGGTGTTCTGTAAAGCCCCCCAAAAAAGGTTCAAACAACATTAAACAATCATTTGAAAACCTAGGGTTCAGGGACCCACTCTTTCAGACCCAGGGTTTTGGCTATCTCTTTACAATTAATCAAGTCATCCATCCATCCATCCATCACGTATCCCTCCAGTCTGTGTCCATTCGATTTGCTTAACATGCTACGCTTCACAGGTTTCCCCTTAAGTTGTTAGCTTAGCTGCTCTTTTTTCCATGTTAAGGGAGGTGCACACGTTGAAAGCTGCAGACTGGTTTCTATTGTGAAGCAGTGACTAGCTTACTGACTGGCTAGCTTAGCTGATAATACGGTATGCTCCAGTGGCTTGTGTTTGTGTTGCCCCTACCATCTGTGTGTCCTTGAGTGGAGCCACTATGTGTCTGCCCGTGAGTTCCTCGACACTGCCACTTCCTGTGAAGGGTCTTCAATTACCCTGGCTGTGCACGGAGGCTATCACCTTCTGGCAGTGTATATCAGAAATGTTCACATGTCTTGTTAGTGTTATCGCGCACTTTTCATTCAGTGCTTATTCCAGTGTCTCAACCCCACGCAGTGAATCTTGCCACATGTCTAACATCTCAACCTGCACCCAGCACTGTGGTCTTTTCATTCAATACCGAGTTTAACATACACTCCCCAGTGACTTGAATCACTCACTGATGCTTCAATGCTCCTCTTCTCTTATACAGTCTCTACTTGTCACAGAGCTCTTTGTTGTATCTCCTGGGGAAGAGGGGAGAATGAAGGCTACTAGGCCAGGATGTGAAGTTACATCTAGAATAATAACTACACTATTTGGGTCCAGTGGGATGGTCCGTCTCTTGTGTTTATGATGCCTTTTTCATTCTGCCCATTTTGTCATCTTGTTGATGTGCAACAAACTAGGCTAAATAAGACTCTGGGCAGACATAAAAACAAGTAATATAATAGCTTCAATTGTCTTCAACTCTATAATTAGCTTCAGCCGTATCATCAACATAGTAATTTGCCCCCCCCTTCCATTCCACCTTCTTTTTCTTTGTCGCTTTGCTTTGCACTCAAGTTACTGCATCTTCTAGGAGGCTTAGCATTTAACGCTAGCAGCATGGGTTCATTTCTCCGTGAAAAGCTGATATCATGCTTCAAAGGGACGGGAACGATCAGCTTCATCACTAATGGAAGTGTTATGATCAAAGGGGGAATGAGAAGAAAATGGCTTATGAGGTTGAACTCAATTTAAACCTATGGTCCACTGAGAATGTTCATCTATATAAGGATCCTTACCCAACTTATTTTCTTTTCATAGAGTGGTGCACAAATGAGTTCTAAAACTAGGATGTAACATTGGCCACTTTTGGTTTCCATCAATACAAAGTCTTTTGTCCATGTTTTTGGTTAGAAGCCTGATAATAACATCTGTGGTTAACATAAGCGTAATGAAGTATGTCAGTAAATAACTCACTTGTGAATGTCTGAAGCTTCTTTGTGTCTTAAAAAGAACAGTTGCTAACAAGTAACTAAGTGAGACTACGTCATTACGCCAAACACAATTCTGCCTTTAGCTTAGCGGTGGGGACGCTGACTGTGATGTAGTTTCTTGATAGCCTCAACCAGTGGCGTCGCCTGGCCTGGAAAAGCCCTGAATGTTTTTTCTGTAGCCCCGGACAATTCTCCCTCAATAATATAATACATTAACCGTGCTTTACGTGAACCTCATCATGACACAAGAGAGGACGGCAGGACTATAATTTCCCGTGTTCAGTGAATGCAACAGAGGCAAGTCACCAGATCAATCAGTGAGTTGCATGGAAATAAACGTGTGCTTGTGTCATTCAAGCTCGGCTCTGTGTGTGTGTGGCAATAGCGCATTTAGTGTGTGTGTGTGTGAGAGAGAGAGAGAGAGAGAGAGAAAGGGAGAGAGAGGGACCGGTGCCAGCAGCAGGGACCGTGTTGTTAGCATCTGGTTAGCTAGCTGCACTAACGGACATACGGAGCTGTTTGTTCCACAACAAGCTGGAGGAGAGAGCTCTCCTGTCAGACTGAGAGGCTCAGGTGAGCTAAAGGACTCTCTGAGTGTTTAGATAGTTAACTTTAGTCTAAGTTATCTCAGTGGGTCTCAAACGGTTTGGTCACAAATGATTCAAAAGATTATTTCCGAGGCACACTTTCATATGATCATTATAGTTCTAAAAGAAATAAGAGAATAAAGGAAAAACAGTTATGAAATACTATATGGCAGTAAAACAAGAATACAGTTTGAAAGGGGAGTGATTTGTAAAATATCCATAAAGGAAAAGAACATCTGCTTACAGTTGTGTTTCATCTGGGTGTTGAGAGATGTATCCATAGATCTCTTAATGTTGCTCTCAAAGTGCACCAGATTGATGCTTTTAACTTCAATATTTAAAAAAAATCTTATATATATGCCGTGAGTTGATTATCGAGCCTTCATTGTAGCAGTCGCGGGTGTACTGTGTGTTTGCGTGTGGGGAATGTTGCAGTAGAACATTCCACTCTAGCGCCCCTGGTGCTCGCGCTTTTGTGCGTGCTCTATAGTGCCCGTAATAGTGTTCACTGGAGTCCAGCACCCCCACTCAAAATACCTTCCCGCGCCTATGGCTGGGACAATCTAAAACTCCTTCTATACATTTTTGTTCAAAGAATTAGCTGGCAACCATTTTTTATTGCAGCCGGTATAAAAATAATATTTTCACTTGCTAATAACTACAAAATAGCAACTATTTGAAACTTGCACTATTTCCAATTTCAATATAAAAGCAGTTCAATGTTCAGTCCTTATCTAAGAGAGGAATATAACTTTTGTTCAATACAAAAATGCTAAAATATTACCTTTTTAAAACAACCTTGTTCTAAATAATTATTTACCAAACTAAGTTATGGATGAAGCAACTGGGCCAAACAACATGTAAAGCTAAGAGACTTCAGGCTATTGGCTGGCTCATACGAGGCTGAGGCTCCATTTACTCTAATATGTTTTCTTTTAAAAAGGTAAATCTGGCTAATTGTATGTCTAGCGTCCACTATACTTCAGCAATTTTGGACCCCTTTAACCGTGACTTTTAAAAACGAAGCTAACCCGAAGTTTAAAGTGTCCAAAAATGCATTTTCTTCTGTTTAATATCTTGTTGTCAACTTTTGACCCTTTGGGGCACCTTCACCTCCCCGTGGGAACTAATGGAACCAATTCAGGAAAGAGTGTAGATTTAAATCTGAAGTTTTGATTCTTTGCTGTCAATGTTGACATTTCCCACCACTGATCTTATCACCAGTGTTGATTTCAATGTATTTGGAGCTAAGAGGGCGCTGCTACTGAAAACCCTGTCTCAAACAACAACCAGCCAGACAGCGTACATATACAGCAGAAGCAAATATTGACTCAGGGCCGGTTAACTTTTATAGACCGAGTTGGCATTGAAGCGTGCCTCAGTCAATATTTAGTCCTGCCATGTTGGCTGCTCCTGCTTCAGTTGCCAGGTGCCAACGGCTTCCTCATGATTTGCTCTTCGGTACGTGTTCTTGTTCATGTTATTACCAGACTGACTGCAAGAGATCACATGCATTTCATGTTGTATTAGTACTTTTAATGGCAGAGATTTCTGCTCAATGTGCAGATTATTTATTGAAATACTTTATGTTGGATGAGTGCCAATGTGTCAAGCTGTGGCTTTATGTCGTTATATTTGTTTGTAGCCTTTATTTAACCAGGTATTTAAAAAGTGACTGTGAAGATACAATATGTGTCTGGTTGTTGGATGTCGCTTCAGACTATATTGGCAACTGAGTCAGATAATGTACACTATGATTGTTTTTAATGATGTCAATTTAGTTTTTTTTAATATTGCTTTTGACTGTCAATGACTCACCTTACGCTGTTGGCAAAATATAATAAATAAATCATTATTAAGAAATAAAATACTAAAACGTAAGTTTTGCTTCCAAATGAACACATAAATCATTAAGAAAACATACACCTCTGTAAAGTCAATGACTATCACTTGAACCCTAAACTCTTTGTTTTACATTTTCACATTAGCAGTGCATGTTTCCCGAACTCACTATGTATTATTACATATATATTATTATTATTATTATTATTATTATTATTATTATTATTATTATTATTATATATACAAATATATATTTTTTGGGGGGTAGTATAATCCAACAACCGCATTGTTGAAGATTCTAAAAGAAGATTCTAAATAGAATCGGAGGGATGAAACGCCGGGTTACGTATTGTAACCCTTGTTATATTAACACAGGCGGAGCCCTCTACTGGACTCTATGGGTACTACCTTATCATGCAAGCAATCACCTACTGAGATTTCTATAGACGTAGCCGGCCCCGGGGCNGCTGGGATTTAGTCAAAAAGCATCAGGCACTAATTTGGCCTGAGCCCAGATTGGAGTGTCTAATGGCGTGTGAAAACAGCTAGCACATGCAAGCTGCATCTTTCTCTACCATTTTTTTTTCTACACCTACGAGGACAAATAATAGTGAGGCGTTCAGGTTTCACGTGTTTCTCCCCCCTCACTCTGCTGTGGTCACTGCAGACAGCTCAATGCTCTCAAGTGCTTCTATGACTAATCTAAAAAACCTAAAGGCGTTGACATTTTTATTGGCAATGGATGTCTCCCTCCTCTTTCCACATGACAGAACAAAAACATGTCTGTGGGGCTTGTTATGACATTTTCTGTACATTATTTACAGCTGTCGTAAGATCGTCACTAAATCACACACCATCTCTCTCTCACACACACATGCATCAATAATACAGTAACAGAGCTCTGCAGTCTACGCTATCGATGAAGATTCTCACCTGTGTTATTCATTGTGACTTCCTGGAAATCAAAAAGTTTCTTTGTCTCTGCAGGCTGGTTCCGAGGATTCATCCTGAAGAATCCAAATGTCAAGGTGAGCCAATGTTTTCAGAGTGTGTGTGTTTTGCTTGTCTTTAGGATACACTCATTTGTAAATGAGTGATATTGTTTAATTCTTTCATTTGATGACTAATTCTGGTGTTATCAAAGACACTGGCTGTATTTAGTTAGTGTGTCGACATAAGATTTGACATTTTATACTCGCCTTCTGACATCTGAAAATCATTTTAAAAAGTCTCCCCATTAAGACACCATTACACCTTTATCTGCTTAGGAATAACAACCCTGTCCGTGCTCAACAAACACCGACCAATTAAACCAAACTGACCGTAATAGATGTGACTTTTAAAAACTGTTGTGCCGGAGAGCATGTGATAAGTGTGTGTACAGAGTCTCTCTGTGTGCGAGGTGTATCCTCAGATACTTACCTTCTGCTTTGATCTCTTCGAGTCAATAGGGAGCAACTGCAGTTTATTAGCGTCAAACAGTACACACACACACACACACACACACACACAGACACACACACACACAGACAGACACACACACACACAATCTTTTTTTGTCTCCTACATCCCAATGCTCTGCTTTTATCTCTTTGCGTGCTCCCCTCCTTCTAACCCACAAACACACTTTATTGATTATGTGCATCTTTAGCGCATGAGTTTAAACATCTTTTCATTAACCTGAATCTCTTCTCTTCTAAGGGAATCTTCCCGTCCAGCTACATCCACTTGAAGAATGCCCACGTCAAGAATAAAGGGTAAGAGATGTTTTTTCTCAACTTTTATTCCTTTGTGTCGTTTCGGAGGTTTAACCCTACGGTGGCCGACAGGTGCAAACACACTGCAACGGCACAAAACACTCACAAAACATTAGTTTTTCAAACGAACACAAATGTGCCAAAACACATGCAAATGAAAGTTCACCAACTTGAAAACACATGCGCAATATTTAAAAAACATTCACCAGCCTGACAAAACATGTGCAACATTAACTAAAAGCTGCTGGTTCACATTTGGGGATTATAAAGTTAGCCAGCTGCCACTGTTGTCAGAGTTAGTCCGATTTCTAATTGTAGGTGTTTTGTCAGTATATTTGAAATGACTAGCTTAGCTGATCGCTAGCCAGTCAATAATATCATGAGATCACATTGTTAAACAAAGCGTTAGAATCCCTGAAGTGCTCCGGTCCCAGCTGTGTGCATCACTTTTGAGTGTCCCATGGTTTCTGTTGTCTTTTGATATTCTTGCAGCGTTCAAGTTGGTGAACATTTTTCCTGATTTGCACACATGAGTTTTTTTAATTTGAATCTTTTTTGAAACTGCAGTGTGTCTACCCGAATGCAAAACGTTTTGTGCCGCTGTATAATCCTTATGTGTGTATGTTTGTAGGCAATTTGAGACCGTCATCCCTGTTGAAGACTCCGTCATCACAGAGATGACGTCCACGTTGCGGGACTGGGGTGCCATGTGGAAACAACTCTATGTGGTAAGAACACACACACACACACACACACACACACACACACACACACACACACACACACACACACACACACACACACACACACACACACACACACACACGCACAGACACATGCTCACAGTTCCCATTCATTTAAATATCACTAATAAGAACACACTGCCCTTTTAGGTTTTTCGTGAAGTGAATTAATTCGGGCCTTGGTAGTTAAAAAGCCGTAAACAGTCGCTGGTTTTGTTTCACACACATTCATTAGTTGGATTTGTTGTGTGTGTGTGTCCTATTAAGCTATCTGGGGTGCTGATTAAATTGAGCTGATGAATTCTCGCAGATCAAAGTGTAACATTTGTGGCGATGAGCAGCAGGACACTGAAGCTAATTTGCACAGATCCATTTCCCCGTCTGCTTCTTCCTCCAAATGTCTGATTCTTCGTTTTCATTCGTTTTATTTGGGGGGGGCTTGAACGTGACCGTACATTTTCATTTTACTCGTCTTCCTCATCCATTCTTGTCAATTTCCTTTCAATCACCCCCTTTAAATGCATCACTGTGTTTTTCCAATTTTTGTATTCCTCCTTCTCCGGCCCTCCTTTCCACAGAAGAATGAGGGGGATTTGTTCCATCGGCTTTGGCACGTGATGAATGAAATCCTGGACCTGAGGAGGCAGGTGCTGGTCGGCAGCCTCACCCATGACCGCATGAGGGACGTCAAGCAGCACATCACGGCCAGATTGGACTGGGGCAACGAGTGAGTTGGATTGTTCCGTCTCAGAGCACCATATCTGTGCTTTTATGCTTGTTTTGCTCCGTTTCAGGGCATTAATCATTCATCAGTTAATACTACAGTAGCTTTAGGATTGGTTTTCTACCCTCTCCTCAACCATTGGATTTCACTCACCTTTTTATTGTGTTTTATGAAAATGTAATGTCATTGACACCAGGAGAAAGCAGCAGCAATCAATCCCAGGTCGGACGTTTTTTTTGGTTCGATGTTGTTGAAAGTCATTGGCTGAACCAGAACCACCGTTTTCCTTTTGGTGCATTCATTCAAGAATTCTGATATCAGGGATGAATGCACCACTAATAAAACATCCTCACATCTACTAATCAGATGATAACCCTGTATCTTGTCCAAATAAAAATAAACAAAATGTTCACTGTGAGGGATTACCTGCAGTCAGTTAAAGATATATATTTCTTATTTTTGTAATTAGAATGTACCTCCCGGAAAGGACACGACACGCCTGTCGCATGATTATTAATCAAATAAAGCATATTTGTAGTAAATGACTAAAAGCCCAGGGTGGTCTAATAACAAATTGGCACAACTAAAAGTGATTTAATTTCACAAACACTGAAATAATAGAGAATATCTCATATAGCAGTTACTCTGAGCCGGAGCGCACTGCAACACTAACTCATGTCTTCTTATTTCTCAAACTCTCCTTGCTACTCTGTCTTTTGTTGCCACCTACCATCCCTGCAGGCTCACTCCTGCTCACTAAATCAGGTTTC